CACAGCAATACACAAACTTTCACAGCCTAACAAACTGACAGAATGTATGGTGGACAAGTACTTTATCTGATACTTCCTCTGTAAAATGTTATTATTCATTATTGTTTACCAGCCCGTTTGCTTATCATGTAGTAAACTCAAGTTTCTTGAAAAATTGCCCTCACGGCCTTAGAGGGTCTTTCCATTATTTTCTGATCTTTTTTTCCCCCTCCGTGTCTATTGTAGCCAACTGGATGTGGAACTGAATTCAAATTCTAGCTTTGACGTTTTATGGCTATATGGCATTGACATGCTGTCTTGATTTCACTTGCTGTATTAATTACATGCCAGATGTGGCGTGGCCATCTTGAGCTTTTGTGAGCAGCTTTGGTGACAGAAAGCCACCTTGTTGTTGTTGTTGTTGTTGTTGTTAAGTGCTATGGAGTTGGTTCCGACTCATAGCAACCCTATATAGGTTCACAAGGAAAAGCTGGTGGGTTTGAATTACCAACCTTACGGTTAGAAGTCTTGTGTTTATCCTACAGTGCCACATTCTAGCAGAGCCAGTTTCCATGGGCAATGGGAAAGGTGTGATTCTTTCATCTGCCTTATGCTCCCCTGGTTACCAGAGGCGTGGCTGGCGAGGGCCTTGTCCACCCCCTGTCAACTCTGGTCTCCATCAGTTCAGAGCCATGTGGTTGTGAGAGGAGTCAGGGAGAGGCTGGGGACAGCAGCATTGCCTTGGTGCCTGGATTCAGTCAGGTTCGGCTCCAGACCTACCGAACCTGGCCAGCACCAGTAGAGCAGAAAATCACATAACCAGTCACCCTGCCCTCAACTGCACTGTGGTCCTGACAGACACTGAAACCAACTTCATCAAGGGCCACCAGGAACTACTTCTGGACTGAGTGCCCTGCACATAGATAACACCTAGGTCTATAGGAACTCCATCTAGGGTCAGGAACTCTGCTGTCACATCCCTCCTGCACCTACTTCATGAGCTCCTTGGCTGACAGGAGCCCCTCAGAGTTTCCTTCTTTCTGGTCCAACAGCTGTACTATGTTTTAGTTTGTATCCCCACCCCTTGTTTTGTTGTTTTCCCTTATTCTTTCTTCTCCTTTCCTCCCCTCACATTTTATCCTTCCTATTTCCACTTTCACTTTTACTTCTTGTTTTCTGTTTATCATTCTCCTCTCTTTTTCATTTAAAAAATTTTGATCCTTCTTTATTACTCTTTACACCACCACTCTCTTTTTGGACTCCTGGTATAGTGCTATAAGATCAGCACTGGTATGCTAACCACAAGATCAGCGGTTCAAACCCACCAGCTGCTCCTCAGAAACCCTATACAGGGTCACTATGAATTGGAACTGACTTGACAACACTTAACAATAACAACAAAATTGGCTGGAAATACAGTAGTGAATCAAACAGTAAACAATTACAACCACCTCTTGTTGTCATGGAGATGACATTCTAAGGTTTTGTGTGTGTGTAGTGGAGTGTGTGGAAATACTTCATCAAATACAATGATATGCAATAAATTAGATGGTGCTGAATGCTGTGAAGCAAATAAAGTAAGGTTAGAGGCTGAAGACTCACAGGGATGCTAATTTAGATCAGTAGGTGTGCTGTGAATAGAGACTCGAAGGAAATGAGGTGATGAGCTATGCAGGCATTTGGGAGTAGAGACAGGCCATGCCAAGGCCTTGGGGCATGAGTTTGAGTTTGCATTCTCTTAGGTTCCAGGCAACCTATCTTTGTGTGTATGTGTGTGACAATATACAAAATAAAACAATTTCTACATGTGCAGTTCAGTGACATTGGTGACATTCTCCGAGTTGAGTCACATTTCTTGAGAATATTTTTCCCAAACTATTTCACCGTCATGAGCACAAACCCACTGCTCCCTAAGTTTCTCATCTATCCTTTCAAGTTGCTGCTGCTAGTTTGATCACATAAAGGTAATTCTTTAAAAGAGGATGCTTAATGCAGGCATACTTTCCTAATTAGGCTAAACTATCATTTAGTTTAAGGATGACATCGGGGATAGTTCAAGTCCAGGGTTTAAAGACTTCCTTAGGGTAATAGTTTGGGTACAACAAGAAAGCTCCTTAGAAATGAGCATGGTGATACTATGTCTCAGATACTTGGGACAGTTATCAGGAATGCTGTCAGGAGGGACCATAACTGGAGAAAGACATCATGCTTGGTAAAACAGAAAGTCAGTGAAACTAGGAAGACCCTCAATGAGATGGGTTGGCAGAATGGTTAAGACAATGGGCTCAAACATAGTGAGGATGGTGCATGACCAGGTAGTGTTTCATTCTGTTGTACACAGGGCTGGGAAGAATAGGGACTGACTCTATACAGCTATACAGCACCTAACAGCAGCAGCGATAGCCTTTTTGTTTGTTTTGTGGGAGTGAGGATTTATTTGGCCTCAATAGTTCCAGAAAGTCTGGATTCCATGAGAATTTGAAATTCTGTTCCTTATTTCATACCCTTTTAAATGAGGTTTTTCTATAGAAACCTTGATCCAGATGTTCAGTATTGGTAGTAGGGCAATACCTGGTGTGTTGGTCTCATGGCAAGGTTGTTTCATGGCATCAATAAGACATGTATTCCCTTTCTTCCTCTGATTCCTGACCCCCATGGCCCCCCTACACTCCCAGCAAATGGAGACTAATTGGGTAATCTGTCATTTTGCAGAAGAGGAATCTGACGTGCAAAGAAGCTAGGTGATGAACTCGGAGTTGCACAGGGATTAGAGGAAGGGCCTGGGATGAGGATCCAGGAGTCCTTTCTCCCAGATGTTACTCATATCTGGGGTTGCTGAGGTAAACAGGCAAATGTCTAACCCCTGCAGTGCTTCTCTTCCTGATGTTAAAGTTGGTGGCCTGCCTTTGGAAAAAGATTTCTGCTTCAACTGCACAAGGCTCCCAGATTGGCTGCCCCAATCGCGTGCTGAGCGATGGAAATAAAACTCAATCTGGTGTCAGGCAGAAGGTTAATTGAATATTTGATGCCTACAGAGGATGAAAATAGGGTTCCCATTTTCCTGTGTCATCAGCTAGGCCTATGATACCAAGGGAAGATGTGGGCCAGTCTTGTTTAAGCAAAGTCACCCATCTGGGAGGCTCCCTGTGAGGAGAAGGAAGGAGGCCATAGACGAGTCCTCACATCATGGGGCTGGGGATCAAACTTTTGCAAGGGAGAGGAGAAATCAGGGGTCTATTTCACCTTGAGTTGAAGTCTGAGTTTTACCTCTGAGGGGGCTGGTGTGTGCTCATAAGCCAGGAGCATACTTAGGTGTGCACTAAGAAAATCAAAGGATTTTCTGGGTGGTGCAAACAGCTAAGCACCAGGCTACTAACTGAAATATTGGAGGTGCTATGGAAGACAGATCAGGTAATCTGCTATTGGATGCTCCTCCATGAAGCATAGTTTTACTCTACAACACATGGGGATGGCCATGCATCAGAATCAACTTAACAGCAGTTGGTATGAGAACAATGGGGACCCACGGAAGTTTCCTAGAGGAAGCAGCTTCAGAATAGGATTTTCCATTTGAAGCTTCAACTCTGACGATTCCAGTCTTTCTTTGGTCCTTTCTCTTTATAACGTATACCCAGTCACTATGTTCTAGTCTCACTAAATTATCTATAAGCCACTAAATGAGCTATTCTGTCAACTTTCTCCTCTGAAGAATGATGGTATTGTCCTACAAAACCACATCCACTGCTGTGGAATCCATTCCAACTCAGCGACCCTACAGGACAAAGTAGAACTACTGTCTAGCATTTCTAAGACTGCTAGTCTTTGCAGGATCAGATGGCCTCATCTTTCTCCTGCAGAGCACCTGATTGGTTGGAACCACGGACCTTGTGGCTAGCAGCCCAATGTTTACACCATAGCATTATCAAGGCTCCTTTTTACCCTACAGTGGAGGGTTATTTATAAGAATTACCTGAGACATAATGCTTACAGTAACCACTGTTGCATCCAGTCTAGCTCCCAAGGGCTGCCACCCTCCTGGAAAGCCCTGAAAGAAGCATCTAGTAGCTACCCTCACTGAGTACAGAAACAGCCACATAGCCAGATAAGTCCATTCATCAAGGCATTTCCTCATTCAGCAGCACTTGCTGAGGACATTCTATGTGTAAGGCCCAGTGTGAGACCCTGGAAACAAGCTTCACTTCATCTTTCTCCCAAAGAGCATCTGGTGGTTTTGAACCACCCATCTTACTGTTAGCAGTCCAATACCTAATGCCTAGCACCTTAGTAGGGGGAAAAAGGGCTGCAAAAGAAGCTACAACCATACAGGAGTACTGTGTTATAGTGCCCCCTTCCCTGGCCTTGCTGACTGTTCTGTGCTTTGACAATGATGGCACTTTTATTACAGTGCTTTGGCATAGTTAGCTCCTTTTGAATGCATCCACTCTAAATTGTCCTTTAGCTCTTAGCCTTAGTATACGATTTTCAAGTCAGCCTTTTCTGACCTTCTTCATATCAGATCCCCAATACAAACTCTTTTAGCACTATGCACTTTTTCTTACATCACTTACAATGTTAGTCTTGCAATATTCATGCATTTCTTCATTTAACCTCTATTTCCTTATTAGGTGAATTTCCTGAGGATAGGAACTGTGTGTGGACATGACCCCTTCTCACCCTTGTGTTCCCAGTTGTTTATACAGTTGTTGTTGAGTCCATAGCCACCCTATGCACAACAGAATGAAACACTGCCTGTTGCTATATGAGACCACTGTTACAGCTACTGTGTTAAACCATTTCATTGAGTGTCTTCCTCTTTTTTACTGACCTTCCATTTTACGGAGCATTATATCCTTCTCCAGGGACCAGCCTAAAGTACATGAGACAAAAATCTTGCCATCTTTATTCAGTAGATGCTAAATTAATACTGGTTGAAAGAACAAAGGAGGGGCAATTGATTCCCCAATGAGGCTGCATGCTGAAGCTTTTCAGGCACCCCAAACCCACCTATCAGAAACACTCACAGTTGGATATCCAAGAAGATCCGTTTTTCCTCCCCGACGTGGATCTTCCAGACACAATCTTCACCCTCCACATAGGGCTCTGGCCAGTTTGGGGACAGCACTACTCCGGCCACAGCAGAAAGTTCCCCACCACACATGGCTGTAAGAGACACAGATAGACTTTATTCGTAAGGAGGCTGATATGACACAGAAGTGAAGAGTGTGTGATAGGACATCAGACAGATGTGGGTCTCTGTGTATTGTGGACAGGCACCTTCACCTCAGTCCATACATGTGTGTAAAATGAGTCAATGAATGCCAGCCACCTACCTCTACCTTTAGCGGAGGGCTGTCATTCTGGACTCAGAGCATGATAGATAATTCAGTACCAAGGACAGAGCCAGAGGAACGCAAATTTCTTCAGCACCAAAGACAGAGCTAAGGGTATTGATTCGGCCCCTCCTCCCCCCACCAGGCTTAAGGAGCTCTGTTAGCGTAGTGGTTAAGAATCGGGCTGCCAACCTCAAGGTTAGCAGTTCGAAACTACCAGCTGTTCTGTGGGAGAATGATGAGGCTTTCTGCTCCTGTAAAGATTTACAGCCTTGGAAACCCTGTACAGGGTCACTATGAGTCAGAACTGACTCCATGGTACATAACAACAGCAAAGAAAGCTTAGAGGTGTTGACTCCTCGGAGCTGCTGTTTCTTGTGTAAGCCAAATAGAGGCTAAGAGTTTGTTATGGATTGTTTTTCCTCCAAATTGATATTGTAAATCCAAACCTTGAAGCCTGTGGTTATAATCCCACTTGGGAAGTGGTTATTTTTGTTATGTAAATGAGGCAGGATTAATGTGGGGTGTGTTTTAAATTAATCTCTTTTGAGATATGAGAGAGATTAAACAAGTGAACATAACAGATATGGGGCAGAGATATGCCAAAACACATGGAGTTTACCAAGGAGTTAACCAAGAAGCAGAAGTTGAAGAGACAAGGACTTTCCTCCAAAGCTGACAGATGGAGGAAAAGCCTTCCCCTAGAGCCTCTGGTGTGGCGCTGTGGGTTAATGCACCAGACTGCAAAGCCATTTGAACTGCACGGTTGGTGGTTCAAGCTCACCAGCTCCTTGGAAACCCTATACAGGGTCGCTATGAGTTGAAACCGACTCAACGGCACTTCACAACAACAACAACAGAGCCTGTATTTGGACTTCTAGCCTCCTAAACTGAGAAGATAAGTCATACCACTGCTATAGCAGTACTAGGCAACTGAAAGAGAGATGGTATACTCGAATCAGACGGACTTGGGATCAAATCAGACAGATTTGGGATCAAATCTTGCCTCTGCCATCAGGAGCTGTGACTACAGACAAGACACATCGTCTCACCACCTCAGAGCCTCAGTATCCCTCGTCTATAAATCCATTGTTCTTGAGTTGGTTCAGACTCAAAGTGACTCTGTAGGACAGAATAGAACTGCTCCCATAGGATTTCCAAAACTGGAATCTTTATGGAAGCAGACTGCCTCATCTTTCTGCTGTGGAGTTTGAACCAAGTCCTTTCTATTAGCAGCTGACCACTTAACCACTGTGCCACCAGGACTCCTCTTTAATATACAAATGGGGAATAAACCCATTCCTAACTACTCTGAGCTATTCTGAGACTTCATTGAGCCCAGGCATGTCCAAGTCGCTACACAGTGCCTGGCACATGTTGGGCATTCAGCAATGTCAATGCCATTGTGGAAGGCCTCTGCCCCAAACTAGAAGCCGAGATGTGGCCGCGGTTGCCACCAGGCCCTTTAAATTCCACTCTGTGTTTATTGCTTTGGAAAATTCTCAACGTGACAGAGGCCAAAGCACCAATAAATTCTGCTCTGTTAAACCAGCACATTTAATGCACAGATCAATCCCTCACCATGAAGAGGCTGTGATTTCACACCGACTGGTAGTGGCTTCCAGGTGTGAGAGCTTCCCTTCATTTTCTCCACATGCCTCCCACCGGGAGATTGAGGCTCCTGGTGGCTCATCAGCCTTGAATGTGAAGAAATGGGGAGGTGGGTACGAGGGTACACATGAGTGGGGGTCCTACACAGTTGAGATGGTCCAGGGGGCTTCAGAGTGTAGGACACTGAAAGCAGGAAGAACTGAGTTCCATTCTTGCCTCTGCCTGTTTCCCTCAGTGTGGTTTCAGGTACATCTCACCACCTCAGTGTCCTCATCTATAAATGGGGTCATAAGAATGAACAAATCTGCCTTGGAAGAAGTATAGCTAGAATGCTCGTTAGAAGAGAGGATAGTGAGACTTAGTCTGAAGTACTTTGGACATGTTATTAGGAGGGATCGGTCACTGGAGGATATCATGCTCGGTAAAGTGGAGGGTCAGAGAAAAAGAGGAAGCCCCTCAACAAGACGACGGGGAGCTGTAACAGTAGGCTCAAACATAACAACAGTTGTGAGGATGAGTACTGTTTGTTCTATTGTTGTTGTTGTTAAGTGCTGTAGAGTCGGTTCTGACCCATAACAACCTTGTATAGGGCTTCCAAGGAGCGGCTGGTGAGCTTGAACTGCCAACCTTGTGGTTCAAATCAACTTTGCAGTCCAGTGCACTAGGATTGCTGATTTGGAACTGACTTGATAACACCCAAGAACAACAACAAGGATGTGGTGAGAATTGAATTAGCTAATGTTTTTGGTGGAGTTCCCTAAATGAAATGATTGCTCTCCTAATAATAACGGCTTTTATTATCATTGTCAGCATTATCATTACTTAGAACCAAGTCTGTCATGAACTGTTGGGTAGGGTGTGCACTGCACAAGGAAGACAACTAGAAGCAAAAATCCAAGCAATGAACTGTGGTGTGTGTGTCTGAAGGAAGGGACCCTCTTAAATTATCTTTATTTTGTAACCTGTCCAAGAGCCAGTAGTATCCCTAACCCAAAGGAAAGTGTGTCCTAAGAGGGTTATAATCCCTAAAATTGGTCATACCCCTAAGCTTCCACCTGGGGTTTTTCATCTAAGAGGTGGGGTTCTCTGGGGACCACTCACCTCTGCACAGGGGCTCCGTGTCATTCCAGTAAGGGTCCCGGACATTGATGCACTCGATGATGGCCGGCCCCTGCTCCAGAGAGTGGCCAGGGTCACAGGTGAACTCCACTATGGTCCCAATGTTATATGTTGGGTCGGAAGTGGTGAAGTTCCCATTCTGAATGTAGGGCTCGTAGCAGTGGCCTTTCTCAAAAGCTGGAGGGGATGGATGTGAAAGAGGCAGCAGGTCAAGTGAATCAGGTACCCCCTTTGCGTACCTCAGAAGATGAGCTCCCAATTGCTGTTTAGGAAATCTCCAAGGAAGAAGAGGACCAGATCAGTGTTTCAGGCCCAGATGACCTGCTGAGGGTCCTTGGACCAGTCCTTGACTTTTGGGGGCCTAATTTTTCATTCTTCTCATCTCTAAAATGAAAATATGAACCTCTTCCCTCCCAACGCTGCCGAATTATGTTTCAGTTCCTTCCCACATGAAACTCATGAAGGGGTTTCAAAATTCATGTAAAAATGGAATTAAAAGATAATGAGTTCCTCCCCCCCAGGAACTTTTTGAAGCCCCCCCCCTGATACTTTCTACATATTCTATATCCCAGAGTCATGATTTCTGCCTTTTGACATCACAGTTGTCTCTGAGAAAGGCCAACTCTTCTTACAGAAGGCAGAACAGAGAGTCATTCAAGGGACATGAAGTGCCCAGGAACACCTTTTCTCAATGGTCAGTGGCTGAGAGGGAGGCTTTAACCATGCTGCTTGGAGGAAGAGGTGGATGGGCTCTAGGGGGCTTTACTGGGTCCATTATCCCAGAGCTTAAGGGAAAGGACCTGTGCTAGATTCATTCATACTGGGTGGTGGCCTTGGTCAAGTCACTCAAGTCCTCAGCGTCGTCATCTACAAGTGAAGATACCAGCAGTTCTCACCCTGCAAAATGGCTAGGATGAAATGTACAATGCACAGAGACATGTGGCACATAGTAACTGTTCAATAAGCAGTGACATTGTCATTCATGACTTCAAATCTGTCTCTGGTATCAAAAGATCAGTGTGGCCACTGGGTCTTTGCACTCACTACAAATCCTGGTTTCTATTTTCCAGGATCCAGCCCCATCCCACCATCCCTTCCCAGCTCCCTCACCCTCAAATCGGATGTTGAAGGCTGAGGCCATCCGTGCCTGGTCGGACGTGAACTCGATTCTGATGGTGTTGCTGTCACTCAGTAGGCCCTCAAAGGGGACACTCTCAGTTTGAAGGGAGCTATAGAGAAGAGCTGATGTGTTGGTTCGTCCACTGTAGATCATCATTCTAGAAGCAGGGAAGGGAAAGAGGGAAACTCAGAGATCTTGCTTGAGTCTCTGACATGCAGAACAAGAGGAAGACTGTGCTCTGCTTCTGAAGTCTCATTCCTGGGTTCAAATCTTATGTTTGCCTGAATAAATTATTTCACCTCATTGAACCTGTTCCCTCTTTTGTAGAATGGGGTTGAATGCTTGCCCTAGATTCCTCATGGATTTGTTCTGAGGCGGTAGGGAAAGTGACAGTGATGTGTAATAAACCATGATGTAATGAACAAGACTAATTAAGTGATGCTGATGATTATTATAATTAATAATGATAGGATAAGGAGTTGGGAATAATGGCCCAATATCACTCCTGAACTGTGGTATACATGTGCAGACAGACCTGGGTTTAGATCCCTACTTTGCACAAGAACCTTTAACCTCTTGGAGACTTTGTCCTCATCTATAAGATGGGTACAGTCATTTTTTCCATGTGGGGAACAGAACTAAAAACCACTTGTCATTGTGTCAACTCCAAGGTGTGTTAGAGTCGAACTGTGCTCCATAGAATTATCCATGGCTGGCTTTTGGGAAGAAGATCACTAGGCCTCTGTAAAAGTACCCAGCCCAGAGTAAATATGTGTGATCATTAACGTTTTGGCTAGGCCAGGATTCTCTGTGGTTTGGCAATTAAGATGTTGTAATCTCCCATGATGTGATATAATATGATGTAATCACTTCCACGATGAAATCTGCTATGAGCAGCCAATCAACTGAAAAGAAGCTTCCTTGGGGGTGTGGCCTGCAACCTTTTTCATCTTACAAAGATAAGAGAGAAGTCAGCAGAGCGAGGAACCTGTGACTAACAAGAAAAGAGACTCGAGAGTGGAGTTCATCCATTGGATCTAGGGTCCCTGCACTGTGAAGCCCCTCTCTCCAGGGAAAGAGTGATACCGAGATGTATGGAGATCTCCAGAGAATACAGGACCTACAGATGCTGAAAGGAGACAAGGACCTTTCCCCAGAGCCTGTGAGAGAATACACTCTTGTTTGTTAAAGCCACCCACGTGTAGTATTTCTGTTATAGCAGCACTAGAGAACTAAGACAGCACTTGAAATTGCTAAACAGGTCCCATCTCTGACCTTTATTTCTTAAGAGCACTGTACGAGTCTGGGGACTCAGGTGTCCTGATTTGCAGTTTCTGATCCCCCACAGACTAAGTCTATATAAACCTCAAAACATCTTTGAGCCTCAGTTTCCATGGTTGTGTAAGGAGGGATCATACTGCCTTCAAATCTACCCTGCAGGTTGGGTTTGAGAAATGTCAAAATAAAGTGCTCAGAAAGAGAAATATATTGTTGTTAAGTGCCTTTGAGTCGCTTCTGACTCATAATGACGCTGTGTAGGGTTTCTCAGGAAGTTGAACCACCACACCAGGACTCTGAGAAATATAAGACAAATGTTTGTGTTAACTATTTATTTCATTTAGTTGTAACCCCTTTCTTCCACGATGACTACAGGACTGAATTTCAAATATCATCATCCACAATCCCGAGGATAGAAGAACTAGATGGTGCTCAGCTACCACAACCAGCTGCTCTGAAAGGGATCACATTAGAAGGTCCTGGATAAAGTAGGAGTAAAATGTGGAATAAAAAACTCAAAATCATAAAAAAAAAAAAAATGGACTTAATGATTTTCTAGCCTGGTGGAACCCTTGAGACTATGGCCCTTTTGTTGCTGTTGTTGTTGTTAAGTGCCATAGAGTCAGTTCCGACCCATAGCAACCCTGTATAGGGTTTCCAAGGAGCAGCTGGTGAGCTTGAACCACTGACCTTGCAGTTCAAATGGCTTTGCAGTCTGGCACATTAAACCCGCAGCATCACACCAGGACCCCCTATGGCCCTTAGATACCCTTTAAACCTGTAACTGAACAGACCCCTGTAAGTCAGCTTCTAGCCAAATGACCCCAAATCACTGCTCTCAAGTCAATTCCAACTCATGGCAACCCTACACAGGGTTTCTGAGACTTTAAATCTCTACAGGAGCAGAAAGTCTCATCTTTCCTCCAAGAATCCACTGGTGAGTTTGAACTGCAGACCTTGCAATTAGCAGTCAAGTGCTTATCCTACAGCGACAACAGACAGCCCTATAAGTGAACAATAACATCACACACACTCCTTACAGTAACCAACGGCACAAGACCCGGAGGGCAGCATCTGGCCCAAAACAAATCTCATAAAGCAGGAAGGGGCAGGGAGGGGCAAATACAAATGGGGAACACACAGAAGAAGTGGAAAGAGCATTGTTACATTGTGGGGATTGTAAACGGTGTCATGAAACAAAATGTATATAAATTTGTTCTGTAAACTTTCATACAAACCTCAGTGGGAAAAAAAAGTTTACAGTGTAGGAAACCCTTCTGGGCAGTTCTACTGCCACATGAGGTTTCTGTGAGTTGAAATCAATTGTAAGGCACCTAACAACAGCTGAGCTGTAACTAGTCTTTTTATCTTCTTCTTGACCATGATCTTTATAGAAGCAAATCGGTAGGCTGTCTCCTTAGCTGCTGGGTGAGTTTGAACCACCAACCTTTAGGTTAGTAGCCAAGAGCAAACTCTTTGTGCCATTCAGGGACCATTATGGTTATTCATTTTTACTTGGTTGAAAACCATTTGCTACTTAGCTTCTTGCTTGTCCCAGCATTATAAAAGGAATTATGCAAAAGTGTGGAAAAAACAGTACACAAATTGGATGTTTCTTTTATGGGGTCATAAACAGACCTCCTTAATGTTTTGAGTTTTTTACTGTGGCTCATAAAAGGGTTTATTTTCTAATGCCCAGAAGAATTTTGAATGTCACCAAGATACATAAATGTTGGAGCCACAGTTTTTTGCATTTTGTCATGGACTCATGTGGCTGAAGAGGGTAAGTGAGGTGGAGACCGGGACCCATCTCCTGATGGCTCTGTTGCATCTTGGAGTCCAAGCCCCAGGACTCTTCTTTCAACTAATGAAGGCCTTTGGCAGAGCAAGTGGGGGAGCTTGGGAGGAAACCGCTAAGATCTCAAAACCTCCATTGTTTAACAATCTTCTATAATAACAGGTGTCTAGTTGTGTTACTTAGAGTGCCTGCAATTGTAATGCCTAAACCAAAGCCAAGGCCACTGTCATTCAGCCAGTTCTGGACTCCGAGGCATCCTTCAAGACAGAGTAGAATAGCTCCTTACTGTTTCCGAAACTGTCAGTCTTTATGGGAGCATAAAGACAGCCTCACCTTTCTTCTGCAGGGTGGCTAGTAGTTTTGAACCACTGATTTTATGGTTACCAGCCTGGTGCTCAACTCACTGCTCCACCAGGTCTCCTTGCAATCATAATACATTCGATTTCAAATCCATGTAGTGTGTGGTCAAATGAGTTTAGGAAATGGTTGGCTACACAAAAATTAAATGGATTTCCATCCCCTATAGGACTTGTCAGTGCCTTTGCTAATAAATGTACATTAGGACCTTCCAAGGTGTGTAGATAAGATAAACAGCATCTCCCAAACTCATTGGACCAGAGACCCCAATTTTCATGGTGCATACTATATTACTGAGGTTCAGCAAGTCTTCCTTTTGGAGAAAGTCATCTTAAGTACTCCCTCCACTAAGTCTCTCTTTCATGGAACACTATTCCCTATAGAAGCAGCCTGGCACTCAAAGGTCATCAGGACAGGATCCCAATTCACTCCTCCTGCTTTAGTTCCACTCTTAGGAGCCCTGGAGGTGTTGTAGGATAAGCACTGGACTTCTAACTATAAGGTCATCAGTTCAAATCCACCAGCTGTTCCACAGAAGAAAGATGAAACTGTGTGCTCCCATAAAGCTTTGTAGCCCCAGAAACCCCATAAAGGGTCACTATGAGTTGGAATCTACTTGATGGCAGTGGGTGGGTCCCTATGAGAAGCTCTGTTTCAGTCTCTAAAATGGGTGCACTGATTCTGTTCTCTATATCTTTGTTCCTCCTCACCCTCTCACCCCGACTCTTTCAGCTTGGGATGCTCTTCTCACCATAATTGTGGGCACTCTTATCCAACCTCTTCAAGCTTCCCAGTAAAATCTCATTTGTTATGTAGAGCCTTCTCTAGGTCTAAGGAGTTCTGGTGGATCTGTGGGTTATGCACTGGGCTGCTAACCACAGGGCTGGAAGTTCTAATACACCAGCTACTCCAAAGAAGAAAGATGAGGCTGTCTGTTACAGCCTCAGAAACCCTATATAAGGGTCACTAGGAGTTGGCATTGACTCGATGGCTGTGGGTTTCGCTTATTGACTGTCTCTAACTTTGTGTTCTTACAACTGATGGTGATATTTTTTGCTGTTATTTCCTCAGTAAAGTGTATGGGAAAGATAAAATAAATTCCTCTTTTATCCTTAGCGCAATGACTGTCTTCATGTTGTGTGGTGTGTTGAACTTGAATCTTGATGAACTATGGTAAACCTCCTTCCCTATTGACATATTTGAGAACTAGTTTTCTAAGGAAACTGTCAACATACCTTTCTTAGACCAATAAACTCACTGCTGCATTGATTTTGATTCACAGTAACCCTACAGGACAGAGTAGAATTGCTCCCTGGGGTTTCTGAGGCTGTAAATCTTTTTGGAAATAGATGGCTCCACATTTCTCCTTCAGAGCAACTGCTGGGTTCAAACTGTTGACCTTTTGGTTAGCAGCCCAATGCTTACTTACTGCACTGTATGACCTGAACTCCTTCCTTAGACTAATGGAGGGTCTCATATAGGTACAAACTATTGTTTGTTGTTTCTATTGTTGTGTCATCTGGTTGGTTCTGATTCATAGCAACCCTACGCACAGCAGAATGAAACATGGCCCAGTCCTGCACCATCCTCACCATGGTTGTTATGCTTGAGTCCATTGCTGCTGCCACTGTGCCGATCCATCTCATTGGGGGTCTTTATCTTTTTTTCTCTCTCTCCACTTTACCAAGCATGATGTCCTTCTCCAGGAACTGGTCCCTCCTGAT